ACAGAGGATGAAAAGGTTGCTGAGTAGCTGCAAGTGTGTGTGGAATAAGATGCAATAGGTGGCTTTTTGTGCAAAGAGGGGTGTACAAAAGGAGGGTGAGGCATGGACTTGAGGTGAAGATGAAAACAGGGCTGAGAAACAGAAGAGAGAAGTGACTTCAGAAATCAGGTTGCGAAGGTGAAAAGTGAGCTTAGTAATTGCATGGGGTGGAAAGGGGAAGCGAGGGCAAGGGCAGGGATGGTGCCCTCCAGATGTTTTAAACTAGAGCTCCCATCTGCCCCAGTCAGCCTGGCTGGAGCTGTTGGGAGTTGTAATTCAAAGCATCTGAGCAGCTCCAGAGTGGAGAAGGGCTGATACAGACACACATATATGCACCCACTTGAAAGGGGCCTAAACTGCAACAGCTGAATTCTTTAAAAGCAAACATTTATCAGGATCATTCCAACATGGTCCCTTGACAGAGGGAAACATGGAAAACAGTTTCTGGTTAACATCCGTACTTAACTGTTAATTCCCAGAGACAGTGGACAAAAGAATCTGGCTAGAAGGGCAGCCAAATCTAAACGAGGGGTGTACAAATCCAGCTATGCCAGTCCTATCCCATGACCCTCTGAAGCCCTAAGTTTGGGGTTCAAAAAAATCCTAAGGGAGCTCCTCATGCCATCTATTTCCCATTACTTCCCTTAGAAACAGCCTGGCTAACTTCAAATCAGACTTTTGCTTTTTAAATAAGTGTTGAAATGGCATCTTTGGCCAAATCAATTCAGTCCAGAACACTGTGTTCTTGTTAATTTAGATCAGTTTCAATTGTTGCAGCCTCATGATATGGTCTTTTCCTCTTGACCATTGCCCATTATTACTTATAAGAGTGGACCAGAGGGAGTTAACTGGGTGGGCCCAGGAAGTGGAGAAAGCCTTGGTGTGGGATGGGAAGGTACTCTTAAAGAGGCGGTGGTGTGCCCTGCCCTTAAGAGGACCTTCCTGGATCCAGAAGTGTTGATGTTCTATCACCTGGGTGCTATTATTCCCTTCTTAAGCAAGGTGCTCAAGATGGTGGTGGCAATGTAGTTGGAAGAAGTTAACCATTTGGACCCTTCTGAGTCCAGACTCAGGCCCCAGTATGACACCAAAACAGTCTGGGCCACCTTGGTCGATGACTTTTGTTGAGAGAGGGACAAAAAAAAGGAAGTTATATTGATTCTCCTTCACCTCTCAGTGACGTTTGATCATAGTATCCTCCTGGAGCAGCTTTGTGGATTTGGAAATTGGGGGGGGGGGTGCTCTGCAATGGTTTCACTTCTACTTCTGTGCCATTGTGGGAGGGTAACCATTGTGAAATAATTTGCAGTGTCCTGCAGGGGTCAATCTAGCCCCCCCCAACACTATTTAACACCTACAGTATATGTTGGGGGGTGTCATAAGTACGCAATGACATGTAGCTCTATCTGTGCCATAAGAATCAGCAGAGGCGGATCAGGTGCTGTGCACCAGATGAACTTAAATCCAGACATTGCTGGCTCTCAGGTCCAAGAAGGGAGTAGATAGAATCATAGAGTTGGAAGAGACCACAAGGGCCATCGAGTCCAACCCCCTGCCAAGCAGGAAACACCATCAGAGCACTCCTGACATATGGTTGTCAAGCCTCTGCTAACAGATGACCTGTTATGGACAAGGTTGCTCTCTCCTGAAGAAATGAGGAGGTACTCCTCGATTCAGCCTTGTCACTTGAGGCTCAGGGAGGCTTGGAGTGCCTATTTCCACTCTGGCTTGTTCACCAATTATGGACACCTGTGACCAGAGATCGCTTGACTGCAGTCAAGACCCATGTTCTGGTAACCTCCAGACTGGACTATTGTAGCAAACGCTTTGTGGGGCTTCCCTTGATGGTTTGGAAGCTACAGCCAATGCTGAATGCAGCAGCCAGGCCAGGGGAGGACACACCACACCGGTTCTTAAAGGTCAGCACCAGCTGCCGGAGTGCTTCCGAGCATAATACAAGATGTTTGCATCGACATATAAAACTCTATGAACGACTTGGGCCCATGTTAAGAAGTGCCTCCTCCCGCATAGGTCTGACCAGATGTTATGTTCAGCAGGGGAGGCCTTGCTAGTGGTCCCACCCCACTGTAAAGTATGTAATATAATAATAATAATAATTTATTATTGATACCCTGCCCCAGCCACTCTGGGCGGCTTCCAACAAAATGTTAAAAATACAATAAAAATCAAACATTAAAAACTTCCCTAAAAAGGGCTGCTTTCAGATGTCTTCTAAAAGACAGATAGTTGTTTATTTCCTTGACATCTGATGGGAGGGCGTTCCACAGGGCAGGCGCCACCACCGAGAAGGCCCTCTGCCTGGTTCCCTGTAACCTCACTTCACGCAGTGAGGGAACCACCAGAAGGCCCTCGGAGCTGGATCTCAGAGTCCATGCTGAATGATGGGGGTGGAGACGCTCGCTCCTTCAGCTATAAGAGGTGTAAGGCACCCCCGAGACCTATGGGTATAGGGCGGTATACTAATAAATTAAACACATATGAGGGGTTTCTCTTTAGTGGGCCCCAGGTTGTGCAATGCCCTGCTCTCCAGGGTATTCTGGTCCCATCATGACATACCTTTTTGCACTGGCCTTTAAGGGTGCAGTCACGAGTATCACTTCTTCTGCTACATCACTGCTGCATCTGCTTGCTGTTTGATTCGGTCTAACTGATGGCTTACTATTGTTAAATACTACACGGCTCACTTGTTTTAAGTAGTGTGTAACCTGCATTGAGACTGCGTCGTAAAGGATGAGTGTAAACGTACATGACATCCACACATACATTAAATAAATAATTGGACCTTATCGGCTATGGAATACGTGGCAGGGGACAGAGGAGGTCTATTTGGAAGCAGACAGCTTCCCAGGACCCCAATTTGGAAGGAAAATACGTCCTTCCTCTATTGCAATGCGCTGGAGTGAGCCGTGTAACAGCACAGACCTATTTTAGGTTGTTAAGAAGAGCAAGCTCAATGTGGCATTTAAGCACCAACAATGAAATTGACAGCAGCCCATGAAATGCACCCCTCAGGACATGCAAGTAGCCTCACGCTGGCTGAGGGTTATGTAAGTAGAAATCATCAGACTTCCTTTGGGGTAGCTGCATGGGGAGAGGAACGCTGTCTGTAAAACAGGCAGGCCAAAGAGCCATCAGAATTTATTTTCAGAGGGGAGGGGGAATGATAACGTTCCCACAGAAAGCTTGCTTTTAAGTATAGCCCACACTTTTGAAAACAAAACGTCCTAAGGCACATCAGATTATAGGCTACAGGAGACACTTCCTACTCAAACGGGCAAATTAGGTGTTTTTGTTTGTTGTTTTTTTAAAGAAACATTCGAGAAGAGTGTGTAGCTGGCAGTATACCAATATCTACAAGAGTATTAAATCACTTAATTCATATGTACCAAGTCGTCACACTGTTTGGGAAAAGAGAGAAGTCAGAATGAGTTGCATTTTTGAAAAGCCATGATTTTTGCGGCCTTATGAAACTTGACTGCTTTATGGAGTGTATGGTTTGGTATGCAGCCTGAGCAGCCCCCATGTGTTAATAGTAGATAGGCAAAGTTTCCACTCCCTTTCCAGCAAGCATTGTACTCCTTTTGAGCTCCCGATAAAAATGTAATCATCCATCTTTTATTCCCATTGTACAGGGGAGCAATAAAGGTGGCAGGGTGTGTGTGTGTGTGTGTGTGTGTGAGAGAGAGAGAGAGAGAGAGAGAGAGAGAGAGAGAGAGAGAGATATTGGCCCTTACATTCGAGTCAGTATCCACATACCCACAGATAACACTAAAGCCCTGCATATAGAAAGTTCAGAAAACCAGATGTTAACTTCTCACCATTATGAGTTTATTGTTGACCATATGCAAGCAAGTTAACATACAGAGTTTCTGTGCAATGGAAACTTATTTTCCAAGCTATGGCACTGCAGGAGCAAACATATTTTTATTGAATCAGGCTCATTTGACTCCAGTCAAGATTTCCACTACACTTTGAAACTTTCAGCAGATGATGTGTATTTTATGCATTGCTCCTAGCACACCTAAGTCCCATAGATTCTGGAATGTTGGTTGTGTCAAACTAAGTCAGACTCAAGAGTAGACCCAATGGCATTAAGTCCATGGATTTCAGCAAGTTCACCCTGTGATTTAGTTGGGATTTGGCCTCGATCTTACAAGTAGTTCAACTAGGTCAGGAGCAACATTGTAGCCAATTTTTATCAAGGGGTTTTGCAGAACTGGAGCCTATGCCTAATGAGGCCGTTAGGAAAAGACACAGCTTGATTACCGTAGCTCTTTAATAAACAAATCCAATTATTGGATTTTCTATATCTGATTCAAACTATTTGAAACGGTAAAATGGTTGTATATGCATTGAAGGATATGTACCCAAAGAACTAAAAACAAGCTCTTTTTGTAGTCATGCATCCCAAGATAAGTTAAGGAACATCATAGAAAGAAAGTCTGATGCCTCTTATCTCCAGCAGACTTCCTGCATTCCAGAACAATGTGGAATGGGCTGCAAGATGCCACTGGAGCAAGGAGAATCACCCAGAATCAGGCTTGGATTCCAATAAACATGGGGTTTCCCATCCAATTGTTCGTGGCAGCTCCCACCCTGCAAGAAAGGCTTTTTAGGGACCACAGAGCAAACTTTCTTCTACAAACTTCCCTTCCTTTCACTCATCTTAGAATCCAGGCCAAATAGTTTTTCTTCTCCTTATGTACGTTTTCTCCCGGAGCTGGAGGGAGAATTTAGAATGGAGGAATGGCACAGAGAGTAATATGTTTAAAATTATTTTTTTAAAACCTTCCTGCAAAGCCACTGCCCCAATCCAATTTGGGGAGCCCTGTAGCTATAATTTACTCAGGCTACCTGATCATGGCCCTCCTGCATCTTGTGTAGCTTGGCCCTCTGTAACATAGATCAGTTTGCTAGACTAGAAAAGGAGAACAGTCCCGAAAGGTTGAAGCATCATTTAATGTTATTTAAACATGGCGTCAATGGAGGTCATCACAGATAAGCACGAGAAGACACATGTAATGCAGACTTGGGTGAGTTTGTTTTTCAACACATTTTAAGAACAAGAATGAACAAAATAAGCAGTCCGTCCAATTGTGAGGGGACACCCCCCCCCCTGCTTACCCTTGAGTTTCCCTTATTCCATTTTGGTCTCTTCCTGGTTTCTGTGACCTGCTTTTTTATGAAGACGGGACACCAAAAAGCCTAATTGAAAGGATTCAATATTTAAACCACACTGCAAGTGAAACGACTCCCCCCCCCTCTTGATTTCCCTCTGAAACTGTATGCACTGCTAGTTATGCTTTTGTTACTTACAGTAATAAGTGCAGTAACAAAATGACAGACTTACTGTATGCATTGAAAATTAAAAAAATAGTGTTCTACATTCTGATGGGCCATGCAAGTCTATGGTCCCTGGGAGTGTTTTCCTGGGGCTATGGGATGAATCAGACCTTGCTCTGAATATAAAAGTCAGAGCAGGGGCAGGGGTGTGGGTGTGTGTTGAGATAGGACCTCCCCACTGCAGAAATCTCTGTGGCCCTTGCCTCACCAACATTTGAGGTCCAATATCATCAGAGGCCTAAAGGAAGCATGCTGGGGATGGGTCAGGGAAAAGCATAGCTTTGATGGATCTTACAAGTACCCTTCTCAGTCCCCTGAAACTAAAGGAAACGTATGTAAGCCCTGGAACTCGTGTCTGTGCATTCTCTCCCATCAGAAATGACAGGAGAGGAATAGTTCCCATTAAAAAAAATATATCTGGAAAGGCAGAAACCGTTACTTCTGCCCTCCTGCAACAGTCCAGCAGGGTTTGGATAACTCTGAATCTCTGCTGTCTGCCCCACCATCACCACCCACTGAAAAGATGGTTCTCCCATCTGGGCAGGAGAGGGCTGAGTCAGTCTAAAGCTACTGCCAACATTGAAACAGGAAACGTATCCCAACCAGGTTAGGAAAAATGAGAGCCACTGAAAAAAATGTAGGCAGCAACTTCACCTAAGGCTGGAAGAAAAATACTTTAATGCCCTGTGTACTAAACAATTGGGCAAGGAGGTGCCTGGGATTTCTGCACTGGTATTTCTCATGTACAAGATGCAGTGAATATAGAGGTTCTGCAGGAGCCCTGTGAGATCTGATGTGGATTCTGTTTGCAGGGCTTGCATGTGTAGACTGCATTCAGACATAATGGGAAACCATGGTTTATTGGTATAGGAACAGGGCCCCCACCTTGAACTCATGTGCTTCCACCTGCCCCCTAGCTTCCACCTGTTTGATCCTAGCTTATTCTAAGCATGGAAGCCTTGGATTCACATGTTCCCTCTCCCCTTTCATGTGCCAACATCTGCTTTAGCTTTTGAATTAACCACAGTTCCCAAAGCCTGGACTCACAGAGAACTGTGGTTAGTTTAAAAACTAAAGCAGATGTTGGCACATGAAAAGGGAGGACAGGGAAACATGTAAATCCAAAGCTCATTAATGTAGCAGAAAACCATTGTTCCTCATTATGCCTGAATTAGGCCAGTTTAAACCTAAGATGATAATGGAATGAAGAAGAAGCCTACTTTAAAGGCGGTGGCTGGTGGGAGGAGGAATCTTGACAATACAGAAAAGGAGACAATAACTTAAGGCTTTTGCGCTCATTTTGCAAATATCAGGTTCCTAAATAGCTCAATCTCCAGAATTCAGAACATTGCATTACTTAATTAGAAGAGGAATTTCTATAGGTAGATATTGGAGCAAATAATATTCCACATTTTAGATCCATCACATTGTAATCTATTGCAAGGGCAGGCCATTTTGTTAAAATTTAAAATATACCTTTGAATTGTCTTGAAAGGGATTTGGGTCACCACCAAAAATGTGTTGCATGTTGGCTAATGTTCATTTTGTTCAAAGCAATATGGAAGACCATAAGAAACCATGGACAAAGCATGCAGCCTAGGTAGTTACCACCACTGCTAGCCCGCATTTATGATCATTTTAAAAAAACATTTAAATCACTACATGAAAATTGACAGGGACAGATTTGGTATATTTTGAATCAGGACCAATTTCTATGGCCATGCATTTACCTGGAAGACTTTTCCATTGGCATCAATGGATGGATTTCCTACTGCTTATGACTGATAGCTTGTTCTAATCCCACCTCACCTTATATTGATAGGCACTGAATTCCATCATGCAGAAAGATGGCCCTATCTAAGGTACATAAATGTGCGGTACCTGACTATGTGAAAAAGACTATAATGTAATTAGTTGAGATTATCTTGTAGAAAACATCATCACATTGACTTAGACCATCAGATACATACATTTCACAGGTATTTGGTGCATCGTTTAAGGGGAGGATTACATCCTTTATAAATTGATAAAAAACCTGTCATGGGGTCTCTAGAAATAGAAAAGCAACCCAAGGCTATTCAAAATATCATCATTATTATTATTTTTTATAATTTGGCAAGCATGCACATTTACACCATGTAAAAGATCTGTAAGTCAGGGGTCTACAAATAAGATGCAGTTATGTAAGCAGCTCATTGTGTTAAGACATCCCTACACTGTGCATGAAGTAGGCATATCGTCTTAAGAAAAATATATAGGATTTACGTGCAGATTCTGCTAAATTTATCAAACTATGGATGTTTCTGGAATGCATGTTATAGTTTCTGAAGATGGCAAGACTGAAAACGGGCGCGTGGGAAGCCAAGTGTCATTAAGTAGCACACACTTTCTAACATCCACCTGTCAAACTCTGTCCTCCTATAGTCTTTTCCTGGTTTCTGTGTCGCCTTGGCACCAGAGGCCTCTGTTGCGGCTCCTCCCACTTCTGCATGGAGTCAGTTCCTTGGCCCAGCTTCTGGTTTCACAGAAGTGTGGGGTAATTGTCCCTTGGCAACAGGAAACTCCACTGACTCCGGGTGGGAACCTTCCACCTAATGCACATCAACCAGCTCCCGCAGGTCCTCCTCCCACAACCACCACCTCCAATGACAACGGATGACTTTTAGCAGCATGTAGAGCTGTGGAATGCAGTCCGTGTGCTCTGGAATAGAGAGATTTTGAGCTAATATAGCTTTGACCCGCTCCCAGTATCCAACTGCTGTTTTCAAAGCCTTTGCAAAATATACTATACAAAACAGCAATACTTTTTCCACCAGGATTTGGAGAGGTTTTTCATTTTGTCTGGAGTCCGGCTTTTCGATTTCTTTGGCTGCTGCTGAGTATCCGAGTACTGAATGCCAGCAACAATGGCTGCATCAAAGACTTCTTTGAGGTTTTTCTGAGTCAAAGCGGAGCACTCGATGTAAGAGGCGGCTTTTATTTCCTCGGCACAGAGCCTCGCGGCCTCCTCCGCCACGGGCTTTTCTTTGCATTTGTCCAGCTCAATGAGGACCTTGACGTCCTCCCGGAGGTCCGATTGTGTCCCAACGAGGATAATGGGTGCTTTGGGGCAGTGGCATCGGATTTCAGGAACCCACTTCTCGTTCACGTTCTGGAAAGAGGAAGGGCTCACCACGCTGAAGCATAGCAGGAAGATGTCTGTGTTGGTGTAGCACAGTGGCCGGAGCTTGTCAAATTCATCCTGGGGGGAAATGGGGAAAAGAAGTGTGAATGGTGAGAGACCATTTGCTCAGCCACAAAAAGCCCTTCAAAGCTCCATGGTTCAAGGTGAGGGAGAGAGGTGTTCCAACTCCCCAGCTGTTTATGAAATCACCCCACATACCTAGGAATTCCTGCACAAACCCTACATCCTCTCTGTTGCCTCTTCCCCTTCTTTGCAACATCTAAACAGGGCTGCAGCTGAATTTACAGATCAGGGCTTTCAGGGAAATGCTGGGATATAGCTCTCCTGGGATTGTACCCACTGTATGATACTGCAAGGGGTTGCATGTTTGAATGCTACCCCATTTTTAAAAATCCTCATAAATCCAGCAAATCAGGGCAAAGACTAGGCTAGCCTCCATATTCCCCTGACAAGCAAAGGAGTTTTTGACATGGGGCATCATTCCTTTTTATGATCCACCTCCTGCATTAGGAAGTGGCAAAGTCCTATAAGGCTGTCCCAGATGATTCTGCTGAATGCATAGCCATACAGGAGTGATGATACAATAAAAGCAGGCCACCCATCCGGCAAGAACTGACAGGCAAATGGGAGACTGAACCAAAGGAAAGGCTTTGCTGAAAAGACAGCTTTTACCCCTTTCCTAGTGGAATTCCTCAGAGATTACTATTGGGTTTTGTTTCATATAACTATTTTCATTAGTACCCTGGAAGGGAAGTGGGAGCACGTAGATGAAACTTACAGATGGCACTAACTTAGGAGGCACTGTAAATACCAGAAGGATTGATGAGAACTCATGCAGGATGAATGGGATAGCCACCAGAACTGGTGCAACACAAAGGGAATTAAATGGAATTAACACAAACCTAAGGAAAAGGAAGGAAAATTGCCACCTGGAGATTTGGCAGCTGGAAAAGAGTCATGCAGAACCTGATCTCCGGATCTTGTCTAATCACAAGATGGCTATGAACTGCCAGTGCGAGCAGTTGCAAAAGGGAAAAGGCAGTTCTCAGATGCATGAAGCAATGTAGAGATCCAATCTGACGTACTTGGCCACAATCCAGCAAAGAGTTAGGTAAATTTAAACTAGAAGTGACTTTGCCCCAAAACATGAGACAGTGAGATTTTCTAGGGACCGGAGTGAATAACAGCAGCACTTCTTGAACTCTGCACCTCACCAGGTGTCAGTGGGCAGTTTTTGGGCTCCAGTGCATACCAAGAGACTGGGTTTTTGTACCTCTGCTTAAGTCCATTGATAAGATTCTCACCAATGGTTAATTAGGACTAGCTCAGAGTAAACCAGCTGCAAGGAACTACTACAGGAAAGAAATGGGGAATTTCTCCTGTAAGCAGAAACTAAAAGATCTTGACTTATTTACTTTAAGATGCTGAAGACATCCCACAGAAAGTAGCACAGCGATCTGATTTCCAACCTAACTGTGCTGTACCAATTTTGCAACCACAGTCTTCAAACTGATATTAGAGTAACACTTAATTCGGAGAACTGTAAAACACTCAGGAATATTCTGGGAAACTAAGAGTTCAAAGTTCAAAAGACGTATTTGTCCTGGTCCTTTGGGCTCTGTGGTGTTAGGAAGGGCTTGAATATGGGAACAGTGTGGATGGGTTTTTTTTGTTTAGGACTCCCCTGGTCAATCTCTGCATCAGGTTATCTATTAACCCTAAATTTGTAAACAGGCTGCTTCCTGCTGCCTCTATGTGGCTTGGAACATTGTCTGAGTAATCCCAGGCTTCCTTGCTCTGTGGGTACCTGCTCTCAGCTTGGGCTGATGGCTGTGGTACAAATGGATCAGGCTGGTCATATGAATGCAGCTTCTAAAGCCAGCAGTAAGATAGCACTGCATGCCGAGTGAGTGGTAACATGAACAGACCCTGAATATTGTTTGCTTGCTTCCTATTTCAATGTGTTTCTTATTTTGATTTGGTTTATCTGAATGGTTTATTGACTGAGCAGGGGAAAGCAATGGATCTGAACAACTGAGGAATTCAGATGATCAAGACACAGTTGATGAGAGATTTCACACTAAATCCAGGCAAAGCTTGATACAGGAAGGTGCGAGGGATTTAGCACCACACTGTCATATAACGTGATCCTCTGGAAGGATTCATGATTTAATATAGCCCTTCAGAGGCCTGCTGTTCTAGGTTCATATTTATTGTTGTCATCCAATTTTCATGATCTACACTTGACAAACACTTCTGGTGCCATGAATAAAGAACACCTTTACATTCACATTTCCCAATGTGCTGCCTCCCTCCCCACTCAACCTCCATGCTAGGTGCCCTTTTGTAGCTCTTTCTATGCAGCAAAACTGATTTTGCCATGGGGTATGATTTTCTGATTTGTGGATCCTGTGTGATGATCAGAGTGTTCTGGTCCTTCGCAGTTTATAGTCTGTTGCAGGGAGAGCCTAACAAAGGAGCGACCTTCCAGATCCTGTTTCAGATCACGGCAATATATGTCACTTCTGCACCACTAAAGATTCAACTAACTCTTACATGAAAATATAATCGTTGGGAGGAAAGTTGCCACATACCACTCATGAAAATCAGCTTAGTTATGCAGCTGTGTCTTTAAGTGTAGGGTTACAGGTAGGTAGCCATGTTGGTCTGCCGTAGTCGAAACAAAATAAAAAAATTCCTTCCAGTAGCACCTTAGAGACCAACTAAGTTTGTTATTGGTATGAGCTTTCGTGTGAAGTGTGCATGCACACAAAAATTCATACCAATAACAAACTTAATTAGTCTATAAGGTGCTACTGGAAGGATTTTTTTTATTTTGTTTAAGTGTAGGGTTTTGTGTATGTTTTAAAAAAAAATTGCCAGTGGGACTGTTCTAGATCCTAGTGTGGGTTAGATTTTTAAAAAATCCTTCATTCCCTGTCCTGATTCAGAACCCCATAAAAAGGACTCCTGATCTGGATTGAGGCCTCATGCTGAGAATGTTTGCAACACACACACACACACACACACACACACACACGGGAAAAACACCACTACACTTACTGGCAGATATGCAGCTAACCACATCTTTTGTTAGGCCCAGAGGCTTCAAGAGCTGCAGCTGGGGGAAGCAAACCAACTCCTTGCCTGCACCCAACCTTTCCTTCTTGCTGACAGGACAAAAGCACAACTTCACCGGCCTCCCAAACCAATACAATTTGCCTCAGTTGTGGTAGCATTTTAATTAAAATACAGCATGCTTCCAAAGAGCGTAAAATACGCTCTTCCAATTAAGAAGAGCGAAGAGCAAACACAGTCCAAGATGCACCTCCAGTGCCAATGTTTTGTTGCCAAAAACATGCATCTTAACTTGCAAGGGGTCAGAGGTTCTTACTTAGAAATTTTTTGAAGGAACACAGACGTGCAGTTCTTCAAAAAACATCTAAAGAAATTACTACAAGCCCCCTTCCACTTGAATACACTTCTTTTCAGGAGTACTTGCAAAAGAAGACTGAGGTTTACAGGGCAAGAGTCAGGGACACTGGGTTCATGAGCTCATTTGTTTCCCAGATTTAAGCCCCTTAGGAAGCAAGGCTAGAGCCAAAGACCCCTGTCACTTAGCTTCGGAGGCAGAGTTTGAACTGAAGCATGCTGTACCGCACTGAAGCTGTGGGCCGCGGTTACAAATATTTGCACAATTAGAGCTTGTTTGCATGTCCTCATAGTAATTGTCGCATTGATGTCATTGTGTTGCTTAAAACTGGAATGCGCTCCCACAAGGAGTAGAATTGAGGAGCGGATTCAGAGATTGAGATGAATTAGGAGGGCGAAAGAAAGCCCTAGATTATCGAGGCTCTTTTTCCATCTCTTATCTACAGCTAACAGGCCACGGGAACAATGGATCTAGGACAAAGATGTCACGAGCAATCATGGCTCCAAAAGGCCCTCCATAACAAGATGGAGAAGACAGCCACTAGGTGCCCACAGCTCATATGCGGCCAACTGCTGGATTACCCAGTATCAGCCAGCAGGAAACAGGAAGTCCCCATGTGCATTGTGTGTTAGAAGCAACCACTCTATGAAAATGCACTCAGAGAGCTTGTAAAGGGAAAACTCCCATGCGTCACAATGTGTAGTGCAGCATATTTTTGTCTTTTTGAGCCATCCATTGCAAATCAGGTAGTGGGCTGCTTGCAAATTCACATGTAAACATGTGCTTTTGTTTCACACGTGGGTGACTCATCGCCACCCACCTTTGCACAACAGAAGAATACTCCTACCGCAAATCAAAGCAGGAAGTATTTCTCCTCCCACAGTAGCCGGTCCTTCCTATGTAGTCCTCACATTACTCTGGCAACAAGGGAGCTGTTGCAGGGCTGCTCCTTCCCATGCCCTCAAGGTAACTGAGAAGCCACCTGGGACAAGGCCATGCTGCAGCCCTTCCCCACACAAAGCATCAAGCCTTGGGAAGCTGGGATACTCCCGGTGTGGAGAGGACCTGCCTTTGGGCTCCTGCTGCCTCCCTCCCAGCCTTCTCATGTCACCCAGGGAAGCAACCTGAGAAGAAGTGACAATGCAGAGCCCACACCACTCCACCCAAAAAGGGTCTTAGCTCTTTCTTCCTCCCCTTTCCTCCCTCTGCCCCAGGTTAGGCCACCCTTCCACTCAAGTAAGTAGTAGTTTTACTGACCTGGCCAGCTGTGTCACAGAGCTGGAGCCTCACTGGCCGGCCATCAACGGATACAACAGCTGAAATGGAAGGGGAGGGAAGAGTCAGTGAGACTTTCATCCACTTATGAAGAATTAGGTCTTTCCTCGTATTTATTTAAACCGGTTGTGATTTAAGGAGCTCAAAAGCCACCTCAGTCTCAACTCTGAGGCCTACCCAAGCCCTTCAGGGCTTTAAAAATTTGGTACACTCCCAATGGGCTAAGTAGCAAAATCACTGAATGATGCAAAACAAAGAAGAATGCTGTCCCCAAACACTCAGGCAGTTTTGTATCCCAACCACCCACCCCATTCCCTTCAACTTGTTTGAGGATTGATTTTCTTGTCACTCCCCCCCCCCCAAAGTCCTGGCACAAAGGAGGCCCCTACTCCAACCCCTCTTTGCCTTAAAGCAGAAAAGACAATGCAAATATTGACACATCTCTTGCAAAGCTGCTGCTCTTTTTGCATCCCTTTCAGTTCTGACTAGAGGATTTATCATTCCACCCTCAGAAAAGAACTAGCTTGATAAAGAACCACGTGTAATCACAGGCCATTGTTACCATTGCTTCCCTGTTTAAACACAATATGCTATTTTTTAATTGAGGGGGTGGGCTTTGCTTGGTTTAATCCCCTCCCCCCAAACGGCTGCAGATTTATTGCTTTTGTCACTTCCTTTTGCTGCATCAATTTTCAATACTGCAGAAAAACTGTGCCCTTCAGGTATTTGCTTGCTGCAAAGCAAAATCGCTTACAGTTTAATGTGAGGCAGTAATGTGCTCCAGGAAGGAGTGGCTGGCTGGACTGGGCTCACATAAAGTCTCCAAACTGTACTGCTGTGGAAGCAGCTGAGCACACCTAACTCCCTTTGAACTCTATGGAACTTACTCCCAAGTATACCTGCTGCAGAGGGCTGGGTTGCTCAGGTCTAAGCTGGTGCAAAGGACAGGGAGAGCACCTTTGGTGACATGAGGTTGTAAGAGCCTGTTCTTCAAAATGAGAATGTTTCACCACAAAGGACAAAGGCCACAATACAGCGGCAAACAACGAAGAAGACCCCAGCACTTCCACAGCAGGTCAGCAGTGTGTTTTCTGTTTGGAAGGCATCTGAATATCTGGACAGTGTACATACACAAACCACATATGACTGAAATTCCCAACAGTAGGTGTGTGTATATCACATGTTCTCAGACATGAAAATGCCCTTCAGATGTTGGAGAAGAGACACAGTCAGCACAGAGACACCTCTTTTCTGTAAAAATGTGAAGCAGCTCCCAGATTCGTATCTATCCCCGAAGGAGTTAAGCCAGGACTGATGACCCAGCAGCTTCCACTCAACACCCAGAAACCTTATTAAAAACTGGGAAGATTGACAGGGGCTATTTAATTACAACAATTCACACGGCAAACAGCAGAAAGCCATCTCTCCACGCTGTTCCCTGCCCCCCCCCCGAAATTCAATGGAGATTTAAACTAATAGAAGGTGGGGGAGGGGACTGGACAAGAGCTTACTTTCCCCCCCTTCTGAACCCAACTAAAGGGATAAGGATTATGAGACAGCCAAGAGGATTTGCAAGATGATAGGAAAGTGTGACGTTTTGGGAAAATAAAGAACAGAATTATCTGTGTGGGCACAGCACACTCAGCATAGCGCCTGAGCCCAGGGTAAATCAGACCCACAGGAGCCCTTGGCAATAAAAGTACTTTGCCCTGAAATATGAATATCTGCCATATAAAGGCATGTTTATATATACACCCACACGCTACAGGTTGCCCCCATAAGAACTAGTTAGAACTCAAAGAATCCTGTTTTTAGTTGTTACCAAGGTCCTAACCCTCACAGCTGGAAACGGCATGGAAAATACTGTTGTAAATGGTGGAGGCTTCAAAACTCAGAAGCAAACAAGTACATTAAGGCGTACGCATGTGTCAGCCTCATTTAACACAGTGGAACTTAACTCCAAGTAAAAATCGCTTGTACAGAGTCAGACCATTGGTCCAGCCAGCTGCGGGTCTCCAGAATTTCAAATGTGGGCCTATCTGGGCCTTAGAGATTGAATCAGGGACCCTCTGCGTGAAAAGTCAATGTTGCACCGCTGAGTTACAATCACCCTTGACCTCGGTTGTTTCGAAGTCCAGGTCAAGATTTGTAAGAGCCTTTCAACCTTGCAAAAAAAGAGGGGGCGTATTCCAGAGGAAGCACAGCACGCCTGCATTTTAAACGGCGCGTGTTATATACAACTAAATACGAATAATTCGGTTAATGGGGGCACTTCTTCAGTTCGGGCCCTCTGGAACGGGCATGCGGAAAAAAAAAAGAAAGAAAGAAGAGTTTCTTTTCCACGTATCTCTCGGAGCTGCTTTCTCTATTAGACGATCCTCCCGAGGAAAGAGGCTTAATCTAACCCGTTTGGTCCCCTGACCGTAAGACTGATCCTTTCCCAATATATTCGGACGTGGAGGAGGGGGGATCCTCTTTCGGCCCCTCCTTTCTACCTGCATCCACCTGGAGCTCAAAGAGCAACGCAGCTCTTCCTCGCGAACTTCCCAAGGAGGGGAGCCGCCCCTTTTTGAGTCTCCAGGCTAGAAATGGACGGCGATTGAAAGAGAAGCCAGAGTCCACGCGGCGCTCCGAGGGCGAAACGCGCCTGCCCAGCCGGATCGCGGGCTGGTGGGGGCGCCTCGCCGCGACCCTGCTGCCCCGAGGGGAAGTGCTTTCTCGGCAGCCTCCGAGGGGAGCCCTCTTCCGCCGCCCCCTTACCTGAGAAATTGTCGAAGGCGGTGGGGATGTACTCCGTGGGGTAGCCGTTGGTGGTGTAGCTCACCACCAGGCTGGTCTTGCCCACCGCGCCGTCTCCCACCAGCACGCACTTGATGCTGCGGCGAGGCTCGGCTCCGCCGCCGCCGCCGCCAGTCCCGCCGCCCGCCCCGGCCCGGCAGCGGCTCCCCAGCGCGGCCCCCAGCGCCGCTGCCCGGCTGCTGCGGACCCTCCGCGGCGGCACCGGGGGCACTTCGCAGCCGCCCGGCAGCGGCTTGCTGATGTAGCCCGTCTCTCCCTCTTGCTGCGGCGGCATCCGCCTGGCTCCCGGGCGGGAGACCCCCTCCGAGGACAGCGGAGCCACCGGGGGACGAGGGGAAGCAAGCAAGGCGCGGCGGCGCAGCCGGCCAAGGGGAGCCGTCCTAGGCAGGAGCGCCCAGCCGGCGCAGCTCCGGGTCCTTGCACAGCGCTGCCGCCCGAGAGACGCGCCTCCCGGCTCCTCCGCCGCTCACTGCGCGCCGTCTCGGGGAGCCTGGCCGGGCGCTCCGCTTGCAGATGACATAATACACCAGGAGACCCGGGGAGCGAGCGAGTGAGCGAGCCGAGCAGGGCGGAGGGCAGCCGGAGGGGAGGAGCCAGGAGCAGGAGAGGCGGCCGGCAGGCGGCGCTACAGGCAGCCCAGGCGGACGCGGGAGGCCAGCCGCCGCTGCCGCCGCAACTTGTGGACGGCGTGGAATCCTGGCTGCGTTCGAGGGCGCTTCTCATTGGACGGCCGCTGTTCCTTTCGAACGCTGACGGCAATTCGGACGACGCCTATTGGCCGGGCATGTTTCGCATAGCTCCCCCTTGCCATGCTTCGCCTAAGGCTAATGCGCTGGCCCGCCCCTCCTTTTCTTACCTGCGAGCGGAGCCCCTTCTCCTGACCTCTTCCCCGATCTTCCGTTTCTCGAGAGCTCTGCTTCCCCGCGTGGCCCCCGCTTCCCAAAGGGCAGCCGCGTTGAAGAGCGACAAAGAGCCCGGTGGCTCCTTGAAGGCGGGGCTGCGTTTAGGGTAGCATTGGGCTCTCGGCCCTAGTGAAGCATCGGCCCTAGTGAATGCCCTTCTAGGCGGCACAAGTCACTGCGTAGTATTTGCAGAACGATGCTCAAATGCTACATTTAGCACGCTGGGAAGCCCACCGACTGGGGGGCGGGGACCTCATGGTCTACGGAGCTGAGATAGCATCAAGGGGCCGTAAAGAGAGGCTGCTGCCGGCCCAGGTGTCCTTTCTCCAACCCCGTACGCTCACTCATTGTGCATAAGCAAAACGGGTTTCTTCCCTGCGAGCCATTCTCTTCCCTTCTTATCCTTTCCCCACCCCCCACCTCTCCAGGCTGAGCTGTAAAACTGTCTAATCTTATCAAAGCTCAGCCTGTTTCACAGAGGGAAAGCAAGTTTCTTAGCCAATTTATCAGTATTAATGAGACAACTATGTGAAGCTATGTGCTTCGGTGCAGCTAAAGGCACTCTTAAAACTGCTCCAGTTTTTATTCCTTCGTGTAGTTTTGCCTCCCCAGTTCTGGTTTATGACTGAGGGTGCTTCCAGGCAGGTGTTTATTCTGGACTTGGCTCTCCGTGTTTGCAAATGGCTTTTCCCCCATTGCAGCATCCACACAACATCACTGACAAATAAATGCCAGCCCAAGCCCCTGCCCCACAATTTAATCCTGGTATGCCTTTTCTAGGGGAAATATGATAAGTAAAGAAGAAGAGCCTATTGCCAAAGACCTCTTTATGATATCTGAAAGACCCATTTGCAAACTAAGCCCCTATTTGGGAGAGTAAGTTTGTTAAGGATTGCTGGGAATTATAATTCTGTGAGTGGTAAAATGCAGTACCCATAATTCTTTGAGGGGGGGAATGGGTTTCAAATGGGCTGTAAAGGTATATTGTGTACACAGCCATTGCAAACCCATTCCCCCAATACTGGACATTCTGCAATAAGAAAAGTGCTCACACTGCTCTGTGTCCCCAAGATTATTGCATTATTGCTGCCTGATGGGCACTCTTGCACCATAGCACAACAAAAACAGGGCAAACACCCACAAACACCACAACATGATGTAGTACAAAAAGTTACAGAGTTTCAGCAGGACGTTACAGTACATGATGCACTGAATGAAGCAGTATGTTCCCCCCTAAGAAACACTTGCAGGTGCAAACAGTATTGCAATAATGAGCACAAATAATCATGAATGCACAATAAAAAGAACATCGGAAGGGTCCCTCAGGCTGCAGCAAGAGCTTTCAAGGCTTCGAGCTGTTGAAATAGTGCTGATATTCCCCTCACTGGGCTTCTTGCTGCTGCAGAAGCCTTTCAGTGCTGAGAGAGATAGTGCAGCATCCTCTTTTGGGGGGCAATGTCAGTTCCTCACCAGGCCTCTGCTGCAGAAGCTCTTCCTTACAACAATGGCTGATCATGTCTGCTTGTCACGAACAACTATGCTAGGATCTTTGATGCCATTGCTGGGATATTGTACTCCTGGCATGTGCTGTCAGCAGCAAGTGACAGTCTCTCATTAATGCCATTATGATCTATTGTCATCAGAGGAAACAAATCAAAATAGAGGGACATCACTGATGTAGAAAAGGAGCTATGATCCTGGGGGTGAAGAGATTATGACAACACTTCTTTTTTGTGTGGAATAAAAAACAATTGCAGAGGTAAAAATAATTTAATGGAACTACTGCATTCTCTAAACAAAGGACTTCTGTGCATTTCTTAAAAAGCAAGTTTAGTACTTGGATTTCAGTACAAGCACAGTGCTTGGATTATGAAGTACAAATGTCTGACTTGTTCCTGCCTTTTCAGGATTGGGTTTTTGAGAATTCACCCCTCCACTATGGCTGTGTTGAATTGTAATGTAATGTATCCTACTGAATACACTAGCCTTTTGTTGAACAGTATGATCAAGCTAGTTGTTGTGCAGAAAAGAAAAAGAAAAAAGCCCTAGTGAAACAATTTGTACTGTGATGGCAAATCAAAGAGAGTTTGTTGGTGACAAGACATTCCAGTATTGCTGAATCCTTATTGGTGAATGAGAACAGTAGCATTTACTTTGTGACAATTCTTGAATGTTTTAGTTTCCGGATGAAACATAGAGAGATAGATTTGATTCAAAGACATTGATTGCAGCTAATTATTTAGTCAATATTGCCAGCAAAATGTTTTATGAAACAGATCCAAAGGCTGATTCTTGGAAATTATATGTCTCTAATGTCAATGTTGATTTATAGCACTGCATTTTTGTCTTGTTACTTTTTACTGATTCCTCACACGTCTTACTTTAACGAAGCCCTTCATTTATAGGGTAAGTAGCTATTCCTCACTGTTATTGTATCAGATCTACTACTGTATAAAATATAAAAAAACACCTCGCTAAAATTAAAACCACACTTTCAGTCCTTTTATCTGGAAAAGCAAATCATTTTCTTGAAAAAGAATATGAAATTAGCTAGTGTAAAGGTAAAGGTAAAGGTACCCCTGCCCATACGGGCCAGTCTTGACAGACTCTAGGGTTGTGCGCCCATCTCACTCTATAGGCCGGGGGCCAGCGCTGTCCGCAGACACTTCCGGGTCACGTGGCCAGCGTGACAAGCTGCATCTGGCGAGCCAGCGCAGCACACGGAACGCCGTTTACCTTCCCGCTAGTAAGCGGTCCCTATTTATCTACTTGCACCCAGGGGTGCTTTCGAACTGCTAGGTTGGCAGGCGCTGGGACCGAGCAACGGGAGCGCACCCTGCCGCGGGGATTCGAACCGCCAACCTTTCGATCGGCAAGCCCTAGGCGCTGAGGCTTTAACCCACAGCGCCACCCGCGTCCCAGCTAGTGTAATCAACTTCAAATGAAACCATGGTCATCGAATCGTAGGATTGTAGAGTTAGAAGGGACCCTGAGGATAATTTAGTCCAACCCACTGCAATACAGGATATCCAGCTGTCCTGAACCTGCAACCTTGGTGTTATCAGCACCACACTCTAACCAACTAAGCTATCCAGGTATGGTGATCTGAGCTATGATTCCTGCCTTGTCTTTAGTTGGGGACCTTAAACACCACTGAAATAAAACTTATAGCCTTGGGCTGCGGAATCCCATGGAGGTGGTGCTTCTGGTGAGATCTCGCCTCCCCCTTCTCACTTCTCCCGTGGTGAAGGTGGGGACGCCCTCCCCTTCCTCTGCTGCTGCCACCACCAATAGAGTAGCAAGGAGAAGAGGCTGTGGCTTCTGGGTTCCAGCAAGATCTTGGAGACATCTCACAAGATCTCACCGGAACCTGGAAGCCACAGCCATGTGACCTCCAGTAAGAGGCCCCTTCTCATTTTGTCTCAGGAGGCCAAATGGGATGAGTCACCTCTGCTAACAGGTATCTTACCTACCGTAAGTCAATTATCCATGTTTTTTTCTATATTGGTGCACAATTAGCTGTTCTTGTCATCAGATACTACTCCAAAGGACCTTCTCAGTAGTGGCGCCCGCCCTGTGGAATGCCCTCCCATCAGATGTTAATGAGATGAGTAATCATATAATATTTAGGAAAGATCTGAAGGCAGTCCTGTATAGGGAAACTTTTTAAGATTTAAGGTTTCATTATGTTTTTATATATGCTGGAAGCCACCCATAGTGGCTGGGGAACCAGTCAGATGGGTGGGGTACAAATAAATTATTATTATTATTATTATTATTATTATTATTATTATTTGCTTTTAGAACTGCTGTTTTCATAGTTCTTTTAATATTCTCAAGAGATCTGTCCCATAATTTATTTTAAGAGATTTTACTTGTACCTCAGTCTCTAATGTACTTTGCTTTCATTACTTTACATCAGTTTTTTGTCAGACGTTCTTTGTTCTTGGCATTGTTTGGTATTCTTCATTAACAACTCAGACAAAATTTTCATTTAGTGTATTTATAAACAAAGCATATGACGTGTTAGAGCTAGTATGCATGGCTCTTGAATCTGGCCTGCTTCCGGATGTTCCATGGAAGGGCACTCACTGCATCTTATTTTCATATTGCCACTGGACAATTGTTGTTTAACACTGGGTGGTCATCTGAATGATGCGGTGAGCCACCACTTCCTTCAAGGCAGATGGTACTTCCTGCTCCTCCAGTGAGACATTAATAATTCCCTGGATCCACCTTTTCAGCCCCCTATGGTTATCTCTAAGAAGCCAAGGGGAGCAAGGGTCAAGGGTTCAGGTGGTGTGATATAGAGGGTGTCAGTGTATTGAACCAAGGGGCAGACTAAGATCTGTTTGAAAGGTGACAAAAGAGAAGGAATAGGAGGCTTCTCATCTGAAATCAATGCCATGTGTTAACTCTGACAAGGAGGTGTGCAAGATGGGCCACAGCAGGTGCTTCTGCACTTCCTCGTTAGGTAAGATTAATTTCAGACAAGACAGGAAAATGGGAAGAACTGAAAGCACAAATCAATTGCACACCTTGTTTCCCTTCCTCCTCAACTTTCCATCTAATCCAAAATGGTCCTACAATGCCAGTGGCAGCCCAGGCAGAAGGTGGAAACGAACTTCCTTTCATCGGTAAAAAAAATGGTGGCAGCAGTGTTACCCATCACCTGACTGGACATGCACCTAGGATCCTTCATGAT